CCCTCCCTACTAGCATGCTCACCTCACCCAAAATTTTGGTATTATCAAATTTTAAACAGGTTGCTTTTCGCCCTGTTGTCCAAATTGCTGAGAAAGAAATTGAACAGTGCAGGCCCAAGGACCGAACCCTGGGGGACTCTGCTGCCCACTTCCCCCCATGTTGAATATGACCTGTCACCACCGCCCTCTGAGTACGACCCTTCAGCCAATCTGCAATCCATCTGACTGTGTAGGCATCAATGCCACAGTCGCCTAGTTTTTTAATGAGGATGGGGTGGGAGATGGTGTCAAAGGCCTTACTGAAGTCCAGAAAGACTATGTCCATGGCAACACCTGCATCCAATGCTTTTGTGACCTTTTTCCATCTCTCCTCTCTTCTCTCCCCTCTGGCTGTCTCTCTCCCCGCTTTTTCTTTCTTTCCTCACTTTCTTTCTCTCCCTCTTCCTCTATTTCCCTCTCTCCCCTCTCTCTTTCTGTACTTTTTTCTCCTTTCTCCCCCCTCCTCAGTCTTGTGGGGTTTTTTTTTTGTTAAGCATGTTGTGATGAGACAGGGAAGGAGGAGAAGGAGAGAGAGAAAGAGGTGAAAGAGGAGGGGAGAGAGAAGAAAGCAAGAGGAGACGGAAGAAGGAGGGGGAGAGAAAAGGGAGAAGAAAAAGGGCAAAAAGGGTGAGAAAGGGGAGCAAAAAAAGGGGAGAGTGAGGAAAGAAAGGAAGTGAAGGGAGAGGAAAAGGAGTGAGAGGAGAGAAGGGAGAGAAGAAAAAGAGGGAAAAGGGAGAAAGAAAAAGGGAGAAAAAGGATGAGAGAAAGAGGGAGGGAGGGAAAGAGGAAAAAGGGGGAAAGAAATAGGAAGAGCGTAGAGAGGGAGGGAGAGAAAAGAGGAAGAGAGGAAAGGGTTAGAAGGAAAGAGAGGAGAGAGAGAAATGGAAAGACAAAAAAATTGGCAGGGTGTATTTACTTTTTGTTGTAAAGCTCTTGATTTTGATACGGGTGTACTTTCTCCTTACCTGTTACCTAATTTCAGTACTGCTGAAGGTGCCTTTCTGAGTCCCTGTGCTTCCTTAATTCTTACTTTGATTTTAGCTATTCTGTACGTCATGTCCCACTTAAAGTTAGGAGATGTAGCATTATTAAAACATAGAGCTGCCTTGGCTGTCTAATTCCTAGTGAGGTTTTTTTTTTTTTTTTTCTTTTACATACTGCTATTTTAGTAGAGCTACATATTCAGTAATATTTAATTTACTTTATAGAGTCCAACATATGAATTCCTTGAACCCATATACTTTAGTTTGCTCCATACACTTGGTTGTATTTCCTGAAAGGCCAAAGGTGTTTTGGCCGCTCCTGGTACCTCAAGGTACGTAGGAAAAGCATTTAAAGCTATGTCTGTGGCTGAATCGCTGATTCTCCAAATCGGCATTGAATCTTCAGATCCAGATTTGGCTGAATTGAATTGGGACAGTGATCCAAATCAATGAGATGAATCAATGTCCCCAATCTGGGCTGAATCCAAATCAAATAGAGCCAGTTCTGCACATCCCCAGTTAACATTGGAGTAGTTTTGCTACACTTATCTGCATATTTCAACTACTGCATCAGTATCCTTTTAATTTTTGCAACAGTTATGTCTGCCTATAATCCTTAGTGACCTTTTTTTAAAATTGAGGGCAGGGTAAGTAAAGAAAAGTTAGAATAAGCTAGATTGTTAAAGAGCTCTTTTGGCTTTTTAACTAATACATTTGTATACAGTTGTTTCCATGTTTTTCCATTAATTTAAAACTCTAATTTCAAAACATTCTCCTGTATAAGTTTTCCTGGAAGGTGATAACATTTTTAGTCTTAATCTGTTCTCAAATCTGTTGCTCTTTCTCAAAACAGCAAGCACAAAGAGAGTGAGGCTGTCTTTATGGACAACACATCTTGTTATTGGTAAGTAACTTTTGCTGTTAAGAGTATGTACACAAAACTAAGATATTTATTTACATGGAAAAACCTACAGATTACATAGTTTTTCATACTGCACAATAAAATCACTACCAACACTGGGAAGTTAGGGTGCATCTGGAAGAGGTAATGCTCCTCATAATGAGTTACTGACAGCACAACTGCTCAGTAGTGAGCAAATTTAAGATTATTTATTGAAAGAGTATAACATAAGGAAATCCTTTACACTCCTATTCTATCAAGCTGACAAGTCTGAAGAAAATGCAGACTTACATAACAACTTTAATATAGTCAAATTTAATGAAAGCACATTATAAACATACTTGTAGCCACAACTGCAGACAATTTCAATCATAAACAATAAAATGTGAGGTAGACTGACTAGTGAAGCTAAATTCACCAAATTTTTTAAGAAAAATTGTACACTAAGAAAGCAACACTTTTACCCCCTTCCAAAAGTCATAAAAAGAAATTGCATAAGTTACAGCAAGACATATCTGAATATGATTTTCATTAAAATCTTAGTTTACATTCAGTATTAACCTGTGAATGGACATTCGCGTCTACAGGTAAAGTATAATGCTGGCCTATGTAATACATTCATAAAAGTGGCCTAGATGGTAAGGCTTAAAACCAAAACAGAATAGCAATACTCTGGGTGTCAAATAACCGTCTCCTTCCCTTGTAATCAGTGACAGCAAGCTGTATTTTTCAAACAGGCAGGCAGGCCTAGGATTCTTGTAACTATCTGGTGCTGTAGTGTTAACATATCAAGAATACAAAAATACGCTGCCAAAAAAACCTTTTCCTCTGCACTGGAGATAGTGTTATGGAAATAAATCAGTTCTTGTTTGGTAAAGGAAGGTAGATATACTGACTCTCTGATTTCATTCTTGACTTTGAGGGCAATTTTGCACCACGACTTTTCACCACAGGACTAAATCACTTTAGTAGTCTTAGCACTGGAATTTTAAGAACTTAGTGCAAACATCAAGTATGCAAACATATAGGAAACAATTTAGAACATTTTATATCCTTAGGTTTGCAGAATACAGGTAATATTTCTGAACCTTACACCATACTATATCTCAAAGTTATTCAGTCAACAGTAAGCCTCCCTAGCAAAATCCAATCTACATTTAGGTGTATACCAAAAGCTTCAAGTAATATCTCTGGATCTTTAATTTTGCCAAATTCAAAGAATATTTTAAAATCATAAGGCAGATCTTGTATGAAGGACAATTAAAAACAAATCTAAAGAGGGTGGTTCATTTACTACATTTACAGCATCACAATTAAGCTATATTAAAACCAACATATGCAAAGCCTTTCCCTTTTGGCTTCAGTCTAAATATATTACGTTTTTCATTATCTGTAAACATCTTTTCAAAAGATGAAAGAAGTTGCTTAACACTTTGTTCAAAATGCAGTTTTGGCAGGCCCTTCCTGGTTGAGTTGCAGGTCAACTATAAAGTCCGTCATAACTTCATAAAAATGTAAAGCAGGGAATGAATATTACTGATTTACCATCTTACAAAATGTGCTACATATATCTTGATAAGAGGACAGAAAGAAAGTGTGTGGGGGAGTACATTTAGAAAATGCAAAATATGTAATCATTTGAGTAATCACAAACAGGGAATACTACAAATGTGAATTGTACTAGTAAAACTGATGCCATTATGATGTAAACCCTGATGCCAACCACTAGCGCACCAATTTTATTCTAGAACAGCCCAATAGTAAATTGAAGGGTGTAATGTTTTCAAATGAAAGAAATGTACAAATATCAGTACAACCAATATTTACAGAAGTTTAGTATTCATAATAAGAGAACAGCTTATTTCAGGCACTGTATTCAAGTCTGTCATTTGGATTATGAGCAGATTCTCTTGCAAATGGTCCCAGTTCACTTGGAAATGATTTTTTGGTTGGTTAGGCAGAGTCCCAAATTGTCATCCTCTAACCCAGGTGTCGGCAACCTGCAGCCTGCACAGCCATTGGATCCAGCCTACAGATGGGTGGGGCTTAGGTGGCAGGGGGCTTCATTTACCCCTGCTAGGACCAGCTGCCCAAGAGCTTCACCCATGCTGCAGTGTGGCCAGGTGGTGGGGGAAGCAGCAGCGATGACAGCTAGGTCTTACTGCTAGACTGCTTCAGCCCCAGAAAAACATTGTCAGCCATTATCCTACCCTGTTTTGGCTTGCTTTAAATACTGTGCCTGGTTTCTGTACCTTGTCACCCTGTTTGAGTACTTTCTTGATGCTTTATTCACCACTGGGTGGGCAGGTGAGTTTGGACTTAGAAAATTGTTTTACCTAACCTCAGCATGTGCACCCTAAGGAAGGACACCCAGAATAACTGCATGGCAACCTGTGCTGACAGGAGCTGATACATGAGGATATTTGCCTGTATTACATAAATGGTGGTTTCACCAATTTTAAAGCCTTTGACATAGGCAAGTAAGATAGATGTGTGATAGCTTTTATTAGTTGGAAAAAAGTTCTTAGCAAGTTTTCGGGCGCAGTCACCCTTCATCAAAGCTGGCTAAGAACTTTTTTCCAACTACTCAGTTGGTCTAATAAAAGCTGTCACATCTACCCAAAGAACCTTGCCGACCTATGTCCTTAGACCAACGTGGCTACAACCAAAATCCCAGCAAAACCTTCGACAGTATTGACAATGAGTAATGTTGCTGGTGTTTCATGACTAACTGAAGGGACAATATGCATAAGAAATCTTCTTCTTCTCATTATAGTAGCCAGTTATTCTACCTACAGAGCAGACTGTTAAAGAGGTGAAATAATGTAGAGAACCTGCGTGTACAATACCTGCCATGCATTTACTGATTTGTTCGGGTTTAAGTAGTAAACTTTAACTCCTGTGGAAAATTTGCCAAAGAGTTTCAATACATATACAATTACAAATCTTAAACTAACACTGCACAGAGAGAACAAGACTATTCCTTTTAATACAAATATCTAAGTTACTTTGTAATTTCAAACCCCTGAGTATTACTGTACTAAAGTACAGATCTGAAGAGAAATGGAGGGCTCTCCTCAGCATGTTATCTTCAATGAATTCCACACGACTAGTGAGAGTCATGTAACATTCAGGCTAGTGGATGCTGAAGGCAGTTTTTCCCCTAGCTTAGCATAGTACAAAAAAACCCCTCTTGATTAAACAAAATATGTCCTACTCCTGTAATCACAGAACATAGCTAATATATGCTGTATTGTTAGTCACATATATCAATTGATGAGGAATCATCTCAACTCCAAGATCCTTTAATCATAACCAAAGTGATAAGTTTATACCTAAAAATAAATCTAGTTTAATTTTTTGGGGAATCCTTTAGAGTAGTCTAGATAAATAATGGTTGCACTTTGCTCCACAGTGATTGTACTTTAAAAGAACAAAACAAACAAACAAAAAACCAAACTGTCAAGTTCTTTTTCCCTTTGTTACTTGGTCTCCTCTCCGATTTAAATGTGACGCCCAGTCAGAAAATAGAGTGGTTTGTCATCGCTGCTGTTGGCAGTTTGAAACTCATCTCTGAGACGGAACTGCCACTCATCTTCCAACTCTAAACGGACTATTGTTTGACGTAACGAGCTTCTGTCTTGGCATATGACGCACAAGGTGGCACCTTTTAAAAAAAAAAAGGGGGGGGGGAGGGAATAACATTTTAGGCTACAAAGTTACACTTACATTTTCTTGCTTCATTTGCAAGGAGGCATCTGTTTTGAAACCTTGCCATTAGAAACATTTCCTCTGAAAAAAATACACTCCTGAGAGGTTACCAAGGAATCTAACATGTAGTAACAGCATAACCAGCATGTTCAGCTTCAAAGCAGTGTGTGTCCTCAGAAAAACCAGGCAAGTATCTCTATTTGCAGTGTGATTTAAAAATGAATACCATATACAGTGGAGAAAGAGTTATGCAAAAGATCTGAAATTCAGAAGTTTACAAGGACACAAGAAGAGGGAAGTGGTATAAGACACGTTTCTCTCTTTCATTTAGACAATGCTATACGAACTTATGGTACGTGCGCCAAGGAGTAAAAACAGAATATGCAAGCGCAGCTTGTTGCATTGGTGTAATATAAAAATGACAGACCATACAAAATGAGTGTATTCAGTAACCCTAGCTATTCTGTTATCAACTGTGCATCATGCACATGAAGAGCAGAAACTACACACTAATCCTCATATGTTTTATTGATGTCAAGTACGATCTACCACATTTTCTTTGGCTGGAAAATCGGGTTTATTAAGGGTGGATTAGAGATCAAAGTATTGCATTTATCCCAACTCCCCTTTCCTTCCATGTCTTACTGTTACTATTAGCCATTCAGCCTCTGCCCCCATATTTGACAGCATTGTCCTTATTGAAAACTGAAGTAAAATATTCAAATGAATGAGGATTTCCAAGAAAACAGGCAGGGCTGAGGGAGGTGGAGAACTGTTATTTATTTGCAATGTAGTAGTACTTAGCGCCTTAATCTGGGCAAGGCATTGTCCAAAAACATAAAAGACAATCCACGCCCAGTTGAGCTTTCTACTTGTGCAACTTTGGTTACACCCACTCTGTAGCTATTCACTACTCCATTGGCAGGCTCATAGTTCTGAATGGATGAACTACCTGCTCTACCCAATATGGCAACTTCTGTGTACTGAAATCTACTTTCAAGTCATACCTTCCCGAAGTGGTCAGCTGCATGCTGCACTGGGTGAGTTTCACTTGCACTGTATCTGATCTGCCCACCTATTTTTATTGATAGTACTTTCATTACTGCAATTTATTAATTTATTAACTACCCTTGATACTTTGGTGGGAGTTCTACACAACTCAAAATAGACGGAATGCATTTCTTTCTGGAATACGACTAATTATAACAATGGAGTTGCTAATTAATCCATTTCTTCTTCTGTATTTTAGTATTGTAAGCTTTTATTTTGTGCCTCAAGCAAGTGAAGTGCCCGACAGAGAAATCCAATTACCTTTCAGGAATCTGAACTTCTTAAGAAGGTCTGCACCTACAAAAGAGTCACAGAGGTACAACAGCAGTCCACTGAAAAACACCCCCTCACAGTTGACATTGACAGAGTGCGGGCGGGAACTGACATAGCATATGGCCACCTGAAACCAGAAAGCAAAGCACAACTTTTTGGTTAGAAAAAACACGCAAAATAGACCTTATATGGAGGTAGAACATGAAATAGCCATAAGTGGCCAGAGGTAACTGGCCCAGGTGAAGAGGGGAAAAAAGACAATTTTGTTTGAACTGTACCAAAAAAAAAGGACTAAAACATGCAACCATCTAAGATTAATAACTATAGTCAGAGAAAGTCCTAAATTCATTAGGCTTATCTGTTACTTTTTCATGGTCCTATACAGAAATACAGCTGTCATTCTTACTCATTTTGTAGTTCTAAACCTATTTGTCAATTACTTTTGTGTGCTTAACTAAGCCCTTGGATTTTCCTTTAATTATTTGACCCTCAAGCAAACAGAATGGTACACAGTGGGCATGTCTACACGTTCATAAATGCACTGTAATTACAGCATGTTACATTTAGTACCTGTAATGCCAGGTACTAAATGCACCATAATTGGTGGGCCTACTGCGCGTGACTGCAGGTGAAGGCATTTTCTGCAACCTTAATGTGCATTAAACAATCTCCTGTGCATTAGCACTGTTTTGCCTGCTGCAGTAGAATTACTCTTTTGCCTCATGTAGTGTCTCATGTAGATGTGCTCACTGGTGTTTAATTCCATTTCCCATGACAGAATGATTTCAAGAAGGGGAGTGGTGCCTGCAGGGGAGGGGAAGTTAAAATCTCTGGTGTCAAAATCATGTGAACACCAGAAAAATACATTCACCCTCTCGAAGGGACCCACTGTAATCTTAATTCCCTGAGTCTCCATGGGTTAAAATGTCTGCAGTTTGAATTTATAGCAGCTGTATTATTTGGTTTGTTTTTGCTTATCTGACATTTGAAGTATATCCCATGTAGAAGGGAAAAGTTCTTGCAATGGGTACATTACAAAAAAAAGTGAGTATGTATCATTGGTGTGAGCAACCAGAATGGTGTGCCAGTGTGGTATCACAAATGGGGCAAGAAAAACATGGTTGCAAAGACATTTCAAATGCATTTTTGAAAACAATAAAAATTTGGGACGCACATAAACAGTAAGGAAGTACATGGATGAAGAGCATTAACTAGAGATAGCTAAGCAGCATACTAAACTGTCTCGAGAATAATCGAACTGGGGCTGTTGCTGAAAAGAAATTATTACATTGTTATTTCTCATAAGCATCCTCAATCACTGCATAATCAGTACTGGCAGAGCACAGATCTTTGCTCCCACACATAAGGTTCCCTGTAACTGGACCACCTAAGAGTTTTACTGCTACTGCTTCCAGGCTAATAAAATTTGTCAAGCAGTAGAGACTTTGCTCAAGATCAGGGCCCCACGCTCAAAATCTAGGGACAATTCTAAGATGACATCATACAGAAATAGCAGTTGTAAAAATAAAAACAAAATTAAGAATTTATATTTGCTGGATCCTACTGTCCAATTTTGTACCTCGGCTCCAATGTTCAGGTAGCAGTCAATGGCCAGTACAGGGTTCTTGAAATTATGGATCGCCTTTGGGAAGAGTTTGTAAGTTGCATGCTGAAGGAATTTCTCCAGAAGGAACTGAGCTGGGGCAGCCAGAAGTGTATGTTCACTGTCTGGAGCACAGATGTACTGCAGAGGCATTATTGGAGCCAGGCTTTCAGATACCTACAATGAAAATGATGGAGCGTCTATCAGTGAACACTCCACAGCTTCTGTCTTTCCTGTCTAGACTCTATTTAGCAAGTAGCAATTACACAAATACAACAACAAGAAAGTAAATTGGAAATTCCAGGACAGGCAACTCAGCAATGCCAAATGGAACTAGGATTTATTCCTTCTCTGATTATGCTAGAGATTTATCTCGCTTTGAGGACATCCTCTATTCCTTTAAGTGACTGGTTTCATTTACATGGAATTAAAATGCAAGCATTTGCCTTTTCTGGCTCAGCCTGTGTCCGCTTCCTTCCCCAAAAAGATTCCTAGAGTAAGGCCATTACCAGCAATTGGAAGCCAAATACAGTTTCCTGACCACAGGTGAAATGTATTCTTCTACTGAAACATCACGTAACAGCAACCAGCAAATTCTGTAACAGTCAGAGTTTCCAAGTAAATGTTAAAAAGTGTTTCAACATCTGTGTGGAATGGCTTTGTTTGTTCATCAATAATATCAATGACTGAAGATCACTACAAACTACTACTGACAGGAGATGGACCAGTTACATGTCTTGTCACATCCAGTTTAAGATTTAGTTTAGAAAGATTTACCCACGGCTAATTAGAACGTAAGATTAGGAGCCCTTAAGCCAAGCCATTGCTCAGCCAAAAATACCAGTGAATAACTAGAAATTAAACACTTTCAAGATCCCAGCTGGCTCTTGGTGGTCCCACGTGGTGAAACAGTTGTGTTTTCATGATTGTGATATCAAAGACACTCTTGGGATTAGTGCTGGAAACAGATAGTTGCATTAATATTTATTATTTACTGTTTGTATGTACTGCAGTTGTGCTTAGGAGCTTACCCACAGACCATGGGTAAGCAAACCAAGTACTGAGCAAAGGGGGCCCAGTAACCCAAACAGCTTCCAACATTCAAGTAAAATGTTCCATTTTGACCCTGAGGGAAGAAAAAGAAAGCACAGGTTTTACCTCCTGCCCATAGCTGCTTTTCTGCCCACACCACCAAACTCACCATAATTTTTGGCTTAATGACAAAGTCCTTTTGCCCTCCAACTTGAATGTGTTTCTTCATGACACTGAAGTTGTTAAAGCGGCAGATAAGCAGGCCACTGCTGTTTGTTCTCAGGTTGAAATCTACATCTTCACAGAAGTACCTAGGCATTAAACACAGGGTCACTCATCTGATTGTGGATCTGCCAAGAGTAATTTTCTGTCCATGATATATAGAGCCCTTTTTAATTGCTTAAAATAAACCGTATGTTGTAGAAATGGTCTATAATGATAATAACCAAACTTGCTAGTTCAGGTGAAGCTGAAACTATATTCCTTGGCCTGTCAAATGAACTGCACGCTTGCATCTTGGACTATCTTACCAGCTGCTTTGTTGGAAAAAATTGTATAACTCCTACATAAATCCTCTACCCAAAACTTAACAAATGTGTCTGCCAACATACTGGCACACTCCCACTGTTGAAAGACCTTTGCAGACTAATTTTAAATTGAGAAACAGGTGTCTCTCTTTTTTTTTTTTAGTATCGAGTTGGATAGCCCCCACCATGTTCTGGCATGTAACACTTTCTTTAGGGTTTGGGTTTTTTTTTTTAATTTTATGCTTTATTTTTGACCAGATAAAAATCTACAGGTGAACAATCTCCCTTTCACAATGGACCCATTGTCTCTGAAATGTTAACCAGGTGAACTGTTTTTGTAATGATGTGGCTTCTTTATCTTCATAGCCATATACGTACTAATCATAAGGGGCTATACTGCCGGTAACAAAACCAGCTGCTACCAGTTTATCCTATTTGGGTGAGGTGAAGATCCAAAACAGCTGTGTTATGAAGGATGCAGAGGAGAGAACTGCAATAGCAGTGTCTTTGGCACCCATATAATGAACTGAGCACACCAGAAGGTGGTCACTCATACATATGACAGCCATGCAGATGATGGAGGCAGAATCCAGTACAAGCCCCCTTGGAGTCAGTGGTGCACACAGCTTGGTCTGCTGGTCATGGGAAATAATTAAATTCTAGTCTTAGCAGGAATTTAGATTTTGCTTTGGGCCGTGTCCTTGAAGGGGAATTATAGGTAGGCATGGAAGCTGTCAGGTGAGCAGAAAAAGGAAAAGAAATGGTAGGCATCACAGGAAAGTTAGTGTTCTTTATTTTTTTAAGCCCATATATAGATGGAAGGCAGAAGGAAAGAGAATGTGGGTGCTTCCTGGAAAAACCTGACATAAAATTCAGAAGTGATTTAGCTCCAAAAGAAATACAGTATCTTCCACTCCCTGTGTGCTTGATGCCATGCTTCAGTGGTTTCCCATTCTCTTACCTTCAGTCAGGTGAGCTTGGCTTGGCTTGGCTTGCCTTGCCTAGAGATTCCTGCCACTGGCCGGTGCGTTCTGGAAGCAGTGCTTCCTGTGACTGACAAAAGGTGCCGTCTCTGGCAGGGTAGACTTTCTGCCTCTCTTCTCATTTCTTCCTCTTTCTGTCTTGCAGTTTAGGTCTTCTCTGTTGTTTAACTCCAGAGGGTTTCATCCCTCAGACTCACCACTCCCCTTACTAATCTCCCAGCCTATCTGCACACCCTGCTTCATCCTTCCCACAGTGTTCACTCCCACACGACTCCATTCTTCCAGTTTCTGCTCCAGGGAGCCCTCACACACACAAAAGCAGCACCAATAGGGAAAGGCAAATCCCTGCTTCTGGATTCTATGCATTGACTACTTTCTCCTGCCAGGCAGATAGCAGTCAGCCCCACTGAACTGCACCAGCACTATACCAGGGTACATCAGAGCTATACCAGGGGATAGGAACAAAGATCCCAAACCATCACCCCAATGCTCCTTTTGTTCTAAGAGAAAAACACTCCACCCTCACCCTCACCCAGGGACAAATTAATTTACTAGAACTCAATCCAATTTCTGGCTGTATTTTTTTTCTTTAAGAAGAGGGCACCTGTCCTAGAATGGGACACCAACCCTTACTGGCCAGTTAGAATTTCCCAGATCTGAGAGCTACAGGAGTTGTAGTTTCACAGCCATTAAGAAGCTTGCATGCTAGCGATCAGCAAAGAATAGCTGGTCTGTTCTCCCACCCTTCTCTTCAGGGTCCATAAGCTTTCTATTGTATATAAATATGTATTGATAAAACACAGGAAATGGAGCCAAAAGGCTAAAATAAACACATCAAGCAGTTGTGATGGTCATGGCAGCCTGCAAGTGCAAAACCGGTGGGTTTTGTGATGACATAAGTGGAAGTTGTAGTTGGTATTTTTAGAATTTAAAATCACAAAACAAGTCTATTCACATCACATGCAGGATTTCCACTTGTCCCTTCCATTAGTTGAGTAGGCCCCGTCTGTTCCTTAGAAAGAGAGATTCTTTTTAACTCTCGGTCTGAAAAACTCATTTTTGTACAGCAGGGCTGTGACAACAGAAGCAGCTCAGCCAATCATCATACGAATGATTTTAATTTGTTTGGCTGCTGCAGTTATTCATTAATATGCTGCACATTTCTTTGAAAGTCCTATTTTATGGCTGTAACCTCACACCATGGTAACACCACTTTCTATTATGCCTACAAAACACAGAACATGAGTTAGCCGATGGTGAGATTTTTACTGTCTGTGAAATCCGCTTTGCCTACCTGTTTAGATCATATTGCACATTCTGGGTCAGGTCTATGTTGAGCAGTATGAAGTCATGCACATGGCACCTGGAGAATGGAGCTTTTGATTTCCTGGAATTCAACTTGCTGTTCCATTTCTGAATACCCAGGATTGCGTAATGAACAATTTTTGGTGTGGCTTCAATGTGCTGTAGAACACTCTTCAAAGATACATTCTTACTGGTCGCCCCTGGCTCCATGGACTGGCTATGAAATTTAATCAGGTACACATATGATTCAGATCTCTGCTATCATTATAACTGATGTGTAAAGTGTCTATTATCACCATGCCAAAGATCCCAATCAGGAGCCTTTCATCCTTCATATTATGTAAAATACACACTTTACATTTTGAATTATTAAAAATACCTAGAAGCAAATGCTATTTAATTCCACCTCTTCTTTCCTCTCAATCTGGCCATAAGCAACATGTAGATATTAGAGCAGAGATGGGCATTAGAGAGACATCTGGAGAAGTAGAGAGAAGTAGCCTTTTGGATGAGTGTGGGGAGAGGCATTGTGAAGGCACTGAGATCTACAAATCTGGCAAGCCAGGATGCCCCATTGTCTCTGACATGGACACAATCACAAGAGAATTTCTGGCTATGTTGACTGTATCCTATTCCCACATGCCACTGGAGCTGCCAGCCATTTGAAAGACACTACAGATTTCTTAAAGAAACTGGGCTTCATTGACAAGCTTCCAGCAACCATCATATTGGTTACCATGGATGTCTCGCATCTCTGTATACCAACATTTCACCAGGAGGATGGATTACAAGCCATGAAGAGCACCATCCCCAAGCAGGATACTGCTTCAGTTTCCATCAAACTCTTCTGCTTTGTCCTCACACACAACTGTTTCAGATTTGGGGACTCCCTACATCTACAAGCTAATGGCACCACCCTGGGCATACGTATGTGCCAGCATATTTATGACAGACCTTGAAGTCAGATTCCTTCACAGCTGCCCTCTCATCCCCTGGGTATGCCAAAAGGGCATGGATGGACATCTTCACTGTATGGACACACAGGAAGGAATCCCTAAAGAAATTTCACTGGGACTTCAGCAACTTCAACCTCTCCATCAAACTAACTCTGGAATACTTCACCAAACACATTCATTTTCTAGACATCACAGTGAAAGTTTGCAGTCACCACTACTTGGTATCAGAAACTCACCAACCATCACAGCTACCTTCACAGCACCAGCTTTCACTGTAAGCACACCGCTATCTCCACTGTCTATAGTGGCCAAGTTCTACATTACAACTGTATCCGCTCTGATTCCACCAACCAGGATACACAACTTAGGGGTCTGGAGCAGGGTTTCTTACAATTACAATACAATCCCAAAACTGCAGCCACTCAAATCAACAAACCCTGACTCAGACCGTGCACTTACTGGCTACAATACCAATCCTGAGACAAGGATAACAATCCTTCTGGTTGTCACCTACAGCCTCCAACTTGAACACCTTGGACACATCATTAATGACCTCCAATCCCTCTATCTCAAGGTAGCTGTGGAAGACAAACCTGTCCTGGCTTGCAGGCAGCCCCCCAACATCAAACCGCATCTCTTAAGCAATAGACTACCTAGCTCCTATTGTAACCAACGCACCAGGCCATGCAATAGACCCAAATGCAAGATGTGACCCTTCATAAATACCTACCACATCATTACTGGACCAAACAATGCAGATTATAACATCCATGGTTCATTTACCAGCATCTAGACCAATGTCATAGGCTATCACCTGCTTACAGTACCCCTCTGTTTTCTACATTGGACAGACAGGGAAATCCCTACATGAAAGAATGAATGAACACCGATCAAAGATCAGTTCCAAGAAGACACACAAGCCTGTGGCAGAAGAATTCAACTTCTGTGGATGTTCCATCACTGACCTCAGAGTAGCTGTTCTTAGACAACAAAACTTTAAAAATGAACGTGAAACTGCGGAACAAGAAATCATAGTCTGAATAAAGTACGGTCTAAACCAAGACTACTGATTCTTATCCCATTAACTGCATTAGCTTTTGTGACCCCTTTGTCCCTCCCTATGGGTTTATTACCTGCTTGACTCTCAGCACTGCCCCCCCTCCCTTCCTGTCTTCCTGGTCTTTTGTATTTAAATCACTCTATCTGGTAGCCTGTTCTGTGCATGTCCTTTTACAGCATGTGATGAAGTAAGCTGGGACTCACAAAAGCTTATGCATTTCTGATTTAGTCTATAAGGTGCATCATTATTCTGCCTTCTAACTGAGAATAATGGCATCATGCTTCTCAAAACAAACTGCTTTCAGTGAGAAATGAAATACACTTTAGAGATTCTGCTCTAACATGGTCAATGCCTGTTTTAAGTATTGCCAAATGCTACAAAGGGGCAAATTTTCAAGGGGTTGACCCAGACCATAATGTTTAAGGTGTTTGACCTTAGGGCTGTGTGTGGAAAACTCCAGTCATTGTTTATGAAAAGTGAATTTACCTGGACTGTTCTTGGACACCATGCATATTCCATAAGACACACGAGTCATCCATGACAACAATAAACGGCCAGACACATTGCCGTTTAACTCCTAGTTCTTCTAAGCGGTTTCTTTCCAATTCTAGATTGTGGTAGGAAAGTTCCTTAATAAGGAATCGGGCAGCACCTGGGAAAGTGCATAATACAGAACAACCTCCATAAGAGATCCATAATAGACTTTTTTGCCCCATAAAAGATGCAGAATTTTTTAAAAGAGCTGCCTATTTTGCCCTGAACAACACTTTGTGAAAGTGCTTCTTACCTCTTAACTTCCAATTAGTAAATGTTCAAGTGCATTTGAAAAACCTGGGCCTATTCCTGTGTGTATTATCTGACAGACAGTGTCATATTTTCCTCAGTGCCTGAAAAAGTGATTTATTATCTGACTTTAACCAACTACAACCAGCCTTTCTGAAAATGCCAGTTAGCAAGACGCATCTACTACTGTAATGGCATTTGAAACTCAGGTGGGAAATGATTCATCATTCAGTCTGCAATGATGAGGAAAATGATTGAAGCATGTCTGTAAATCAGCTGCTCTCAAACTATGATCCCTTCAAAAACTATCCATTAACAGGAAATACAAAACAGGACCACCTAGGAGGAAAAAAAAATGATACTGTGGAAAAGTGACCGGACCACACAGTCCATGGACTCGGGCAAAAGGAGAACCCAGCAGCACAGAAACAGATACAGGGGGATAGGACAAACAGGCAACAGGGAGACATACAGAGAGAAATAGGAAAGGCAGTAGGAAGCTGGGGAGCAGGTGGACAGAAGAGAACGGAAAAGATGGAGAATAAATAAGCACGATGCAGATTGCGATTAACCTGGTTCACAAAAAACAAAATAATCATCTCATGGAAGTTAGTTAGAGCGGATACTTCCCTCACATCACCTTCTGAGCAACATTATATGAATACAATTGCTGAAGCTGTCACACTGTATATAATCACAGTGGGAGGGACAGGCATCAAGTTCTCCCTAAAGATATGGTTCGTACTATAAAACAGGTTTGAGTTTTCACCCTGCTTTCTAAATAATATATTGTTGTTTCCTCTTACCTACTCCAGCATTGTTGAACATGCCTGGCAGGACTAGCATGATATGATTGGGCCAGTATTTACGGTAGAGTGGCATTTCATACTCCTTGACCACTAGGAGGTGAAGGTGATTGATGCCTTCCATAGCATGGTAAAGGTTCAAGAGGCCATGTTCATGGCGACCACTGGAAGGAGTGAAGATGGGACTCTTTACTGCATTCAGATTCTGCTGAAAGACCAACAGAAAAATATTTTATAAACTCTTGAAAAACAAAGATTGATGCTGATTGACTTCTTTCTAAGAGAAAGACCATCTCAAAGATGAGTATTTATTGTAGTAGCTAAACATAGAAGCCAATTTACATCTATCCAAGGAGGCACGGGTCCTACCCTGAGAAACTCAATCTATAGAAAATCAGAGATTACAGGAAAGGTTGGTTTGGTGGGGTTTTTTTAGTGAGTTAGATTCACCATGGGCATCAAGTATGAGGAGGTAAAAAGTACACACCCACCTTGTCAGATACAAGAGGGAGACGCATGCTTTCCAGATGCTTTCCCTGCTTGCTGAAGACAAAATGGTTCTCCTTGGACTTGGGGATTATAAAATGAAGTTGAACCTCTTCTCCTAACATTGAAGATGAAAATGTGAAAGCATGCAAGGTGGAGTCAGATATCTGTAAGCAAGAAAGCAATCAAACTGTAATCAGATAAAGAGGGTATAACACAAACACGAAACTCAAAGTACAGCAACTTTAACGGCATTGCAGACTGCTGGAAGCAGCTAGAAATGAACACTAAACATTTTCTCAAAAATCAAGTGAATCTTGATCAAAATCAAGAATCCAAATGAAGTGAATCCGATTCTGTTACATTCATATTTTCCCTCCCAGAAGTGGAATTAGGCATGTAACCTGTCAGCTTTCTGTATGAACAATGTGATCTTCAGCCCAACTATGCTCTTGCTTAAATTCATGTTACTTAGATTTTCCAGTGCTCTGTATAAATGTGTCAGTATTTCTAAGTGCTAGAAAACCACATCTCTTATCAATATGTGCCACCACCAAGTGTTCTGAAGACGAAGCTTTAGGTCCCATATTATGTAGACATACCATAAATTACCGCCAACTTGCACAACGACAAAACTCCAGCAATTCATAGTTTACTATACCTTAACAGTATTAATGTATATAAAATGAAACTAAGCTAAAAAAGTTCAACTGAGTCTTTCCTGCATTATTCATAAGTTCTAGTGTATTGCAACACTCATTTGCCTAAAAGTCGTAAAAAAAAAAAAAAAAATCAAAGGACAGACCTCAAAGGACCTTATGTCCAGAGAACTTGGTGACCTTCTTCCACTTGTTTGTTTCTCCATTCAGCAGCTTTTGACCTCATTCTGGTAATGGGTTAGTTTACAACAGAATAGAGATCATTAGCATGAATAAGTGCCCTTTTTATTCTGCATGTTAACTTCCACTTAAGTGTTTCACTTTATCAAAGGAAGAAGAAAGGCCCCAGTTCAGGAAAGCAGTCAGGGCCAGATTCCAATTAGTTATGTAGGCACCTAAATATGGGACTGAAACAGAATTCATCCACTTAAGTCACAACCAGGGATTCAAATGGGCCTTGCACCAGCAGCCACAAAACACATTTGATGCCTAAAATAATGAAGCATCTCTGTGCTTCAAACTGTAAAATCTAAAGTAGGAGCATAAAAACACCTAGCTGCCATGTATAGAGGTGCCTACACTCCACCTAAATCCCTGAAGTGGCACCATCTGGGCATGCTCTGAGCTCGCCTAAATGGCACCAACAGCATTTAATTCAGCTAAAAATGCTGCCCCCGCCCCCCACAAGTTGCCCACCGTCTGCCCAAACTCTAGTAGTTAGTGGACTCTTCAGTGAACGCCCTCAGAAGCGAGCCTGAAAACCAGAAATAAGCCTTGAAAGCAAGCACGTATGCCTTCTTGTGAGTGGAGAGTTCCAAGTCCCAGCTACTAGGGTTATTTCTGGTTTTAGCCAACAGCTGTCTAATATAAAATGCAGAAAGAATCTGGACCTCTTTGTCCTGTAGACAAAAAAGGGTTTGAGCACTCACCCCTGCAGTGGAAGACCTGGGTTCCAGGCCCTCTTTAGCTACAGGGGATTCATACCCACACCTATTTCCCAATTTCCCATTCCAAAATGGCAGTTATAAGGTTATGTAAGTGCTGCTTAGGCCATTGGCAGACATTCTGCCTACCTAGAAACTGGGGGAAATTTCTGACAACTTTCCTCTGGGAGAAATCCTTCCGGGAAAGGGAGCAGTACAGATATTCAGTCTGCAGCTACTTCCTCTCCCCTGCTCTCAGTGCCTTCCCGAGACTGGGGTGATCTCAGTCTGGGGAAGGTGAGGGGAGCCATGCATGCCTGCTCCACCCCTCACAGTCCAAAGGGAGTGCAGCAGCAGGGAAGGACTCCCTCTGCTTGCACCAGAACACTGTCCTGCCAAGCTGGCAGGGGAAACACCATGTATCTGGGTCCGTGAAGGCAGTTTTCCTCAAGTGTTCACAGGGATAACTGTACTTCTGGTGTGGTTTAGTACCCGCTGAGGTGTTGGGACTTAAAGCCCACTTTATGGAAATGGGAGGCTCCTCCCTAGCTTGCTTCTGCGGTCATATGGTTGAGGGCAGGTGAAACTTGGGGGCATCTGCACCCCAAGCCTCTAGGCTTGGGCCTGCATGTAGGATGCCTGCCAAAAGACTTTGGAAATACCTGAAGCCCCTGGTGGGGGTGGAGGATGTTTGCTGGTTGTAGGGCCACTTATGCTTCTGGACTGACTCATGGATTTGGACTTGATTTGGCTTGGGACATGAAAAATTTCTTTAAAAAAACCCAAAACAAACAAACCAGACCAAGCTCTGGGAAACAGGGTGGAGGCTACCCATTTTGACTCCACTCCCCAGTCTCAGGGAGTGGAGTGGAGTGGAGTGGAGGGAGCACTGGGGCAAAGCCCCCGGTCCCTCTCTCAAGCCTGGCAGTGTCCAGCATGGGGCAGAGGACAGGAGCAGTAGTAGCTGCTCCTCTCTCCTCCTGGATCAGTTGGAGAGGAGAAGGGACTGGAGAGGCCAGACACTTCCCTGGCTTAGAGAAGGGGCTAGGAACCGGGCTTTACGATTCCCCTCCCCTCCCAGACCAATCTAGGAGAGGAGAAAAACAAAGCTGAGTGGGAGCAGAGGAGGGAGCACTAGGGCAACCCATGCCCACTTCTCACTCTGGTCCCGCGGTGGGAGAAGCAGGCAGGGGACTCAGTGCTGCTCCACCTGCTCACTCCTAGTGCACAGAGCAGTGGGGCAAAATCCTCACCCACTACACACATCTGTGACTCCGCTCAGTTGAAAGTGTACAGACATTCAGTCTGGGAGCGACTTAACCCTGGGTGTTCCTGGAGTAGCTATTTTTGCTCCAGAAGAAAAAGCCTGAATGTCTGTCTGTACACTTCTGGTTTCTATCTAGAGAACAGCAGTTTTCCCAATAGAGACTGAATGTTTGCATGTAGCCTTAGACACATAGACATAGTGCTAAAGCCTATTTCACCTCTTTGTTTTCAATTTAATAACAGGCTGTTAGAAAACCAAGCACAGAGGAATGCAGTGACTTGCAATAAGAAACATCTAAGTAAACACTTTATGGTGACTAAAGAACAAAGCCCTAAGCTCTTAATTGGGAAGATTTTTCAGGCTCCTGCCAGGTTACACACATTTGTACTGTTGGGTCCCAGCAAAACAAAGGGATATAAATAATTTTAAAAATGCCTCTCTCAAGGTTTGAAGAAGCTAAGCTTTCCTCAGTTCCCATCACATAGGGCAGAGGACCTATATAATATACTAGTAGGTATGGAGTGTTGTTGCAGGTATGAACATCCAGGAAACATGTAAGAGGCAAGGGTTTTTAGTATCATAGTGCTTAGAGTCAGAAGGGACCTAAAGAGAACATCAGGTCCGACCCCAGCAGGGACGGGTGCCGGGATCATATCACCCCAGCCAAGTATCTGTCCAGCCTCCTCTTGAAGACCCCCAAGGTAGGAGAAAGCACCACCTCACTTGGGAGCCCATGCCAGAGCCTGGCAGCCCTAACCATAAAGTAATGCCCCCTGATGTCCAGCCTGAACCTTCTCTCTAACAATTTGTAACTGTTATTCTTAGTAAACCCGGGTGGTGCCTGGGGGAACAGAGCTTCCCCCAATTCCCGCTGGCCCCCCCCCGTGAGTTTCTTTTGGGTGATATCGTTTATCACCCAGACGGGAGGGGAGCCGGGTGTCCAAGGGGAGTGGTCGCTCCTTAAGGAGACGATCCTCCAAGCCCAGGGGAAGGTAATCCCCAGGAGGGTCAAAGGGGGCAGGAGAGCATATAAGCCTCCGTGGCTCACTAAAAACATCCGGGAATGTCTCCTTGCCAAAAAGGAGGCTTACTCCCAATGGAAAGGAGGGGTCATCACTAAGGAGGACTATTC